TGCTCTCAAACCCTTAGGAAGGGCTGGAGAGCTGCCTTGAACACCCGCGCTCGGCCGCATCGCGCAGACAGGCCGCTTACTGATGCCTCAGCATGTGCCAGGCTGCCCTTGCACCCCTGCACCGCATCTGCAGCCGAGGCAGCTGCAAGGCTGACTTGCTCTGCTGCTCAGCTAAGAGCCGGCATGAGATGGCAAACGGCTGCGGTGCCCCGTGCCTGGCACAGAGCCACACGGGCGACTCCCCTGCTCCCAACTCATCTCCGCGGTCCGGAGGATGGATCCTCCATGCGGCTGCCGCCTTCCCACTGCCAGCATGGCTCCTCAGGAGGAGCGTGGCAACAAATTGAAGTCCAAATCTACTGCCAATTTACATGTTTAAGGGAAAAAACAGCTCTTTAATCGTGTTAACAAAGCAGACTGATCTCTTCCTCATTTCCTACACTTACAAACTCTCCGACTCAAGCAAAGCCGGGACACAAACAGGGGACAGGATTAGGAATGCTGCCTGGCTCCCTCTGCCAAATGCATTGCAGTGCGCTCCGGGAGGAAGCACAGCCTTCCCGCCATCCCGGCCGGCACAGAAGGGTCTGCACTTGCAGCACTAGCTGTCATGAGGATAAGAGGCTGCGACAGCACTCGGGATGCAGGACATGCTAGTGCTACTGGTCTGCGACGTGAAACTACACCCAGGCTCTCAGGACAGGGACAGCTGGGGAAAGGAGAAGGAACAGGTAACTAAAATGTAATCAGACCCCAGCAACCCTGAAGAAAGCAAAAAGAAAATTGTATGACCAACCATATGAGATTTTTGACTTTTGTGTTGCAGACAGTTGCTCATATACTGTGATATTGGACTCTATAGTAAGTATAAAGATAGACACCTCCCTTACAGAAAAATCGCAAGGGAGTTGAAAGAGAAATGGTACCCCTGCTGCAGTAATGCACAGTGCAGCGCAGGCACTGACAGGAACCTTTCTCATCTATGGCACTTGAAATGATTTTTGATTAATTCCTAAATTCCTAGTAGTCTTCTGCCCACTAACATTTCTTTTTCTTTCTTCCTTTTTTTTTTTTCCTTCAAAATACTGCTAAAATACTGCTCAATAAGAATCATAGAGTAGCTATAGATTTAACAGTATGATTATGTCAGTGAAAGGAAGGGTTCAAAAGCATCTCAGGATATTCACTAGACCAACCTCTAGTTCTCAGGCAAATATAGATTATTTCTGGCTGATATCTGTCTAACTTGTTCTTGAAAGTTTCTGACAGTGGGTGCTCAGCTCAGCAGCAGCCAGAATAGCCTGCTCCAGTGCTTAGTTCCTCCTGCAGTAGGAAGGGATTCAGCCTATCATGGAATTTTCACCTTCCTCATAGTAAGCCAGTGCTCTCTTCCCAGCAGGTACAGAGACCAAGCAGGCACCTCTCCCTCCACAACAACAGTGTCGCTGTCCCCTTGCTAAAATGATTTAAGTATCTGCACAGCTTTGAACATTAGGGAGAGGACTTTTTAAAAAGGGCATTTCCGTCTTTTTGTGTACTTTGCTCCTTTCTTTCCTTCCCCTTAAGAAGTGGCCTATGCTTCCCTTAGTTTTCCTCTTACTGCTAAAGCATCCACAGAGTTTTTCAGTTTTCCCTCTGTTCGTCCCCACCTGCCTCGCCACGTGACCACGTGCAGCTTTGAGTGAAGCCCGCAGGACGAAGCTCTGCTTGAACTCTCGGATAACGCTACCAGCTGCTAACAGGAGCTCGTTAGCAGGCGCCACTCCATACGCTATACACACTGCTCCACTAACCTCTGTGTACTGCTGGATTACATTTTCAGGCGTGGGTCCAAGGAACATATAGAAGTCCAGGATGCCTCCAATAGTGCGGAAAGTTAGGGATGGATTTGGACTCAAAGAAACGTCTGGAAGGGAAAGCAAGGTTCTCAGTACACATTAACTCTGCTATTTCAGTCTGTTCACTGGAAGTCACTGCCTGCTAGGGGAAACTGGCTTTGTAGACAGAGTGAAGATTCCCGTTTTCTCAAATTGTACCACTAGATTAATACAGTAAGGTGACCATGGCAACATGGAAAACTATTCTCCACACACAGAATATAGGACTAGCCTAAATTGATTTGTTTCAGTTATGCTGATCCCAGAGGAAATTTCTTCCATCTTTTTCTCTTCCTATATGTGCATCCATTTTCAAAAAACATAATATATTTTCATTGAAAATACCTTATCTTCTTTAACAGTCATTCTAATAAAATCTCTTTGAAAACATTAAAGCAATTCCTAGAGACTCAGTTATGCAACAGTCAGTCTTATTTGTATCACGAGTAAAAAACAATCAGTAAAATAGTTACTTACATTTACTGACCTAGCATCTTTGTATATGTATGTAGTCCATATATCCACATATCTTCTTACCTTGTTTTTCAGCAGGAGAACACCATGGGCATTGGAGTCAGTCTCTACACACAAATAGAAAGGATGAACCCCATAAAGATTGGCAAATGGCTGAAACATAAAAAATACATTAAGTAGGCCTGTGTTTTGCCATTTTTCATAGATTTTTCAGCTGGGTACATGTGCAAAGAAAAGGAAATAATTTCATTTATAGGTAGAAAGACTTGTTTTGAGATTTTTTTTTTTTACCTAAACCAGTTAAATTGATAGGACAAAAGAAATATTTTTTTCTGCCTCAGCACAGTATCTTTTGTTTAAACCTTCCATGCTCTGTGAAACCTTCCATGCTCATGCTCCACCCTCCGAAGCTATATAGGTAAGAAATGCTTCGTTAGTTAAAATAAAATCATCAGACTGACTTCACTTTAGCCAAATATCTCATCCAAGAATAAGCCCTGCTGAAATTCAGCTGGTCTGGATCAACAGAGCATGGAACTAAGCGTTTTTCTGAACCAGACTCTTGACAAACACAGTATATTTTCCTGACAACTAACTGCAGTATAAGAAGGTTTCTGATGAGAAGTTTCAAAGTCACCTCAGAATGACTCATGATTTTGCCATTTAATTAAAACACATGACACCTACAAAACATGTGACAAAGCACATTTTTCAGTCTTTGCCATCAGTTCCCATCAGCAGTGTTATCAGATAGAGAGAGAGAGCTTCCCTTGGCAAAGCTGCAGTCTGCCACTTCTTTTTTAGGATATAAGTTTAGGAAAAAAATGATGCATTATCTTGATTACCGCTGGTGACTGATCTCTGCTAAACATGCCATAGGTAGCAAAGTCCATGCTGTGTTTGAAGGACGGGTGTTCATGTTCACCAAACCCATACACCGAGGTGGATGGCACTGTAGTTGTAATCTGTAGATACTGGTTGGAAAAAATCAGATCATCCAGGGATGCATCCCACCTATGACAAAGAGATGAGAGGTAATTATTTTGCTTATGTTCAGCACTCATCTTCCTAAGCTCATATTTGTATATTTAGACTTTTTCTGGTATTTGAGATGGTAACAACATAAAACATACAATATGAAGATGAATTCATGTATCTAAGGTGTTTAACCTAACACCCATTAATTTCATCTTGCAATGGCAGTAGACATCTCATCTACTGACAAAATCAAACACATCAGTATATTTTTAAAAAGAACAACTAAAATAAGAGAAGACACTATCTATAATCTTATTACCAAAATAAGCAGTTGCTTGTGCTATTTCTATGACAACCAACGGGGCGGGCTGAAGATTGTTATTACGCAGTGGGGTTCAGAATGCTAAATGAGAACAACAGACACTTAGTGGTTATCAGTTTTCACATTTAACACTTTGCTGGATCTGGACCCAAATACTCTTGTTGCCCCTGACTTTATGCAGGGCTTAGCACAGCAGAGTGACATCTTCCTTCAGATTCTACTTGAATGAGATGTTTTTATTGTGATGACTCTTCTCTTGCTTCTCTTGCCAGCCGAATGCCTTTATTTCTATTGAATCATCTGTGGACACAGGCTCACATTTTAATTAGGTGTTACATTCTGTTTCCTATCTCTAGTGCTATAATGAGCTGCAAGCTAGATGGGGAAGAAGATAGTCAAGCTGTGGAGAAGCGTTTCACTAATGGTACTATGTAGGCCATGAGTACCACATTTAGATAGCACCCTCTCGAGCCTTGTTTAACCATGAATTTGTTACAGCTAATTAAAATCAATGAGCCAAAGCCATAGAGCAGAGAAGTGGCTTAACTCTTCTTTTAATGGCATTTTGTCAATGATTTTGAAAAAAAAAGTTAAATGGTTGATCAAATTGACTGGAAAATCAGAGAAGCAGAAGCTGGGCTGTGTCAGGGGTGGAGGAGGAGCACCCCTTGGGGCTCAGGTTGCCACCAGCGGCGAGCTACATACCCTGGAAGGACACCAACAGTCATTCACACATAGAGGGTCTATGCATGTAGAAAAAAAAGTCTATTTTGCCTTTTTTCACAAGCAGGAAAAAAAAAAAAGAAGAAGAATTTGCATGTAACCATTGAATTGGTTGCTTGCCAGCAGCAACTTTCCTTGCTTTCCATCATCTCCTCCACTTACAGGCGGTCCTGAGTGAGGTTATTTTCTTACAGGAAGGTTAATGTGCACGACGTATCCCTGAGAAGCGGCTGCAGCCCGTGGCAAGCGGAGGCCTTTCCGAGCGAGGCTGCTGCTGGGACAGAGGGACGGGCTCTGGGGCTAGAGCCCCAGCGCACGGAGCGCTGTCACGCTCAGCAGCCTGGCTCCGTGCCGAGGGAGCACGGTCACTGCTCTGAGCAGACCACGGGTTATGTAAAAAGCAAAGGATGCCGGAGGGGAAATGCTTCAGGAAGAGCTTAAATAGCTGTCCCAACTCATCGAGCACTCTCCATGATGCCTGCTCAGAGGACATGAGGCTCTATACGTCTGGGTGGCCACGTCTCGGCGCTGACATTTCCCATCGTGAGAGCAATCAGTGTTGCCATGGCATTGCAAGCGCTCCTGCTACTCAGCTCGTCCATTCCTTGCCCAGGAGAGTCACTGGAGTGGCAAAAACTGCAACCCCAGTAGCACAGCCCCCACCACACCAGGTATTTAAACAGCAGAGATGCTGTTTTATACCACCATCATCCCCCCATATCCCTGGCACGCACTGTACTTCCATGTCAGGTCACCTGAACGGTGTCAGGGGCTGCCGTTCCCAACGGCACAGCACTCCTCACTATGCTACAAAGGCACCACTTCCCATCAACAGCATCTTCCTGGTGACTGAAACGGCCACACACTAAATACAGTGTTGGCTACAACATAACCCTGTCACAAAACCAGGCAATGACTTTTTTTTTTTTTTGGGTTATCATTTTTATCCTATAGATCCTCTAGCATAGAGAAGCTCTCCCCTAGCACCTTTCCATTTGCCTCCTCTCCCAAGAGGCTGTATTGTGGTAAGCTGTTATGTTACTTCAAAATATCACAATATTTGTTTGGGTTATGTTGGGGAAGAGTGATCATTTTAACAAAAAACAAATGTTTGTCATTTCTCAAACACCAGGAGACAATAAAAGAAAGTGTTATATTTCTCCCACCTCCTCTCCTGCTGGTTTAAGGCTGATAGAAGTAGCAAAACAGGAGGGAACAAAAAATGATGCTCCATGCACAGGCATATGCATGGTTCTCCTCCAACAGTCTTAGAAATTGTAACAGTGCCAAGAGGGACAACAGAGGAATCTAAAAATGTGGAATATATCTAAGAGGTTGTCCACTACTGAAGATTAAGCCTCAAACAGGAGATACAGGTGGAAAAGTGGGTAAATAAGAGAGCCCTTTCTTTTGCACCAGAAGAGCTACACTCTGGTCACTTTTGAAAATATTAACCCTTCAGTGACTCTGTGGCAGATACATCCCTGCCTGTAGAAAATTAAACTGGACCCCTGATATTCCTATCATCTGAGCTGACTGCTAATAGTGAACTGCTGCTTGTCCTGCAAGTCTAAAATGTATAAATTATCTAAATTGATAAAATGTAGTATAAAATTATTTAAATTGATAAAATGTAGTGCTTGCTTTCAAACACTGCATTATACCAAAGAGTAAACCTCTCTATTTTTAACCTGTCATGAGAAAAAAAAAGACCCAGGAGTGAAAAGGACTGTGTAAAAATTAACTTTTCTGGCCGGTAAGTGAACTGAGACCTATTCAGCATCCATTAAATATCCCTCAGGTCACCAGGACCAACGAACAGTGAAGCAGTAGTTGAAGAAGTAGGTAAGCAGACAGATAAAATAGCTAGTTCATGCTGAAGGAATTTTCATGGTGGCGAAGGATGACTAAAAGGCAGTATAATACAGTTTGCAGATGTGCAGTCATCAAACTTTTGCAATATGAACTGAACATGACAGTTTACCAGGTTGAAGAACTTCTCTCTGCTTCAGTTTACTGGAGAGCAGTTGCTCTGCTGCTTGTAGAGCGCAGGGCAGATGCAGATGGTGCAGAGCCCTGACCTGCCTGCTGTGCACAGACAGCTGCTGTCTCATGCTGAGAGGGCTCATAAAGCCTCCAGGATCAGGAGACTTGGGGGGAGTATACAATACATCATTTTAGGACATGCATAATGCATTATTTGTACATTCAACATTATCTTAGGTTGGGCCACTTTATTTTTCGCAATATACCCAAGAGAAATGAGCCCATTACTTCAAGGTAAGAGCATGTTTCTCTCTCTTGCTCATGCTGAGAAAACGCTCCCTTAGCACCGCCTAGCTTTCCTTGGCCCCCAGCCCCTTTGGGAGCTGCAGGCCTGCAAAGGGGCACGCGCTGAATGTTCACTTGGGCCTGCAAATGCAGGTGGAAACCTCATGTGGCTGTCAGAAAGCAGGTCTGAGCCTCCCAGCAGAGCTCTGCCATCTTGCATTGGCTTCCAGAGCGCACGGGCTGCCTCTGCATGTGCGGGCTGCCTATAAAGCAGGAAAGCACCTTTGTGACTGAGCAGTAGTGTAGCCTATTTTTAGAAGGTCCTCAAATATACTCGGGTCTCTAACTCAACCTACTTGAGTTTGGGAGATTATCAGCCTTAGGAGTCCAGGTCTCTGTGATTTTCCATAGTGCTCAGATTTCTGAAAAATGTTTTCATTCTCTCAGAGCCGCTGCATGCCTTATTAGTTGCAGTCCTTGCAGCAACCACAAGCACCACTGGCCAGCCAAAGACATGCCAAAAGAATTTTCGTATATTTATCTTACTCTTAAGGTGATCTAAAAAGAAGGAGAGTTAGCACCCTCCAGGCAAAAGATTTTCAACAAACATAACATTTTTAAAAAATATTTGTAGGAAGTGTTTACAGCTATCGACACATTTCTACTTTTTCTGCATTCATCGTCATGGTATCAAGACATTCCTATAAGTTGCTAGATATCTAATGCTTCATTGTTGTTCTCAAAAACACTTGGGTAAGGGATAGACCTGAAATACTTCTTGCCTATATAACATAAATCTTAATGATGAGAAGACAAAAATAATGGCTCTCACAAACTAGAAGCAAACTCAAGCTACCCTTGCTGCACACAGCTTGCTCCTGGTGCTTTCAGCAAAATCGCAGTTTAAGACAATGGCATTATAAATCATTCTAATAACCTTGCCCATGTAAAAACATCTTCATAGTAAGTGGCGTCTGTGCTTACTACCACAATCAATAAAAAAGGCAGCTGAACTCTGCAGTGGCCTTTTTGGAAATCAGGGAAGATTAGATTTTTGTTATTTGTTCCATGTCTTCCCAGCTGTGATAGCAAGCAAGGTATTCCAAACTTTTACCAGAGAGAATGGAGCATTTATTTGGCCTGGGAAAAATATCTGCCTCCCATTATTCATATGATATCATGAAGTAAAAGTCACTTGAAGAATGGATATTAAAGCGGAAAATCAAATCAATACTCCATCCTTCAGTAGCCTGTCTCCAGCAATGGCCCAGCCATCTCCAGCAATGACAGATACTGTCGAGGGTGGCATAAGATGTCACTCAGAGACCTTTTTGCAATAACCTGCTTATAGAGGAAGTTTCTGACTGTTTTCATAGAATTAGTTTATGTTGTGAGACATGGAGACAAAAATAATTACTATTTTTTGTACAGATCCCATGTCAGTACTGCCCTGAGGCCATGAGTCCCACAGAGTAATTACACACTGCAAAATTAGTATGTCTGTGTTATTTATCTCTGCTTTAAATCAAACAGTTCTGGGCCTTTTACTCTCCATGCCTGAAGAAATCTATACTTTCTTTAAGCCTACATGAACATAATTTTTACTGCCTCTCTGAGTGGTTGCTGTTGTTAATGTAGGAGCTGAAAGGAAAATAGTATTCAGCCAGCGAGCACATCACTAAATGATGCACAGGCATTTCAGCCTGCTCAGTTTTGTTCC